ATAAAGCTGGTACAATATTTTGACTACTGGCCATTTTTGGCCAATAGCGTTTAGCGTTGGTGCTCCAGCACGAACTGCGACGACAAGGTAATATGGCCGTCTCGATCGCTATTGCATCTATTATACAAATTTAGTTATGTCAAACGAAATGAATAAAGGTCCGAGGACGGCCAAAAGACCGAGAGAGAAGCTAGTACTTTGCAGTGACTGAAGTAATGATAATAGTCATTAGCATTTAAGCACACATGCTATAATATACGATGACGGTATATATGATAAACTCATCCAATGACCGCTGCAATATTTGTATTTTTTCTTAAATTAGCAATTATCTGATCTGCAGCCTTTCTCCGTTACAGACTGGGTAGTGGCACAAGTTACCGGCCCGATGCCTTACAACAGCATTCATCATGAAATGGTCACCGGACTAGCTCAATCCTTCATAGACGCGATGGTATGCGTTTGATTCCGTGGATTTCTGTTTATTGCCTGGTCGCTTCTTCAGAGACTTCGGAGACTTTATTCGTAAAGTTCCTTTACGATCGATGGTGTCTACTGGCTAACGAAATCCAGTTCAACTAGATTCATTCAGCCATTATACTTTTGTTTTGTAGTAATATTTAATGCTTGCGTATGCGCAAACCGCGTTGGACCAGATTGCTACAGAACATGCTTGTATCGTCCCCTATGGTCTATGTCAGTATTACTATGACGTAATGGCCTCTCTAGTCGGTGATTCAATTTTTTGAAGGAAGATGGTTCTAGCAAAAGGAAAAAAAGAAAGCTTGTCTACTTAATTCTTCGTAACACCGCGCCATATTATAGCTAGAAATAATATATGTATTAATGAATTCTATAGCCATGAATATGACATTAACGATGAGGCTTAATAAGACGTAGTGAGCCAACTAGCTGTCAGTCACCCTGTGAGCATGTTAGAGTCTCCTTGAATCTCGAAAGAAGACTTTTATGTCTTCTTTCGAGTCTTAAGTGTTCCACCCATTCATTATTTCCGACACCGCTATGAAAAGGAGTAAAAGTCTTCCTTCCCTACTTATTCAAGTTAACCTTACTGCTACAGGTACTGTTAATCGTTAGCGGCTGCTGGAATATCTCCAAAACCAGCGCCGCGATTTCTACGTTCTCAAAAGCCTTTTTCTTCCTACTACGTTCATTAGCACATTGACAGTTGTATATATATATATATATATATATATATATATATATATAATAACTGTACAAATGACATTTCATAACATTTTTTCACGCTTTTTGTCATAATGGCGGCGCCAATGTGCATAGCCGCAGAAACGGGCTATCAGACGTTCACCGACAGACCCACGTAAACACATGCACATGTAGCTGCTAAGACAAACAGAAAAAAAAACGCAAATTAATGTTCGTCCATATACCAGCCATTTGCTAGTTACTTGTTATCAGCACATTATGGGTAAGGTGGCGCAAAAACCCAAACGGGTCTTTCTATCGCTGGAGAGGTAACGACCGTCGCTACCTTCTACAGAAAATGCGGCTCGCCGCCGCTGCTACTGCTATGCAATAGTTTGCACTCTGCCGCAAAACATTTGCGAAACTGATCATTATAACTGAATCGATGCTACGGTCAAGATGGGAAAAAAGTGTAGGATATCCAATGCGCACACCCTTTTTGTAAGAAGAAGACGTCCGTGAGTGGACGGGTAAGAATCCACGATCATTCATTTCTGCTTTAAAGGAAACACGCTAATCGAATTTCAACATTCGGTTAAACTAAATAGTTGGACGTTTTCCGTAGAAACACTGTTATAGTAGGCCCAGACTGTTATAGTGGATCAGGAAGACGCCGGCAGAAGTAAGAAATTCTTCTTACTTCTGCCGGCGTCTTCCTGACATTGTGACGTGTATCATAATAATTATATCAAGAATTTATTATATAGTGAATATTCGGATCGTTGCTCCAGGACTTAGCTTTGATGGTTCTCGTTTCAACAGCACGTCCGGCAGATTCGGATACGACCGGATGGATGAGCTCCGATCATACGATTTGCTGAGCACGTGATAAGTTGGCAAAGTGAGCGTCCGTCAGCTTTTGCTTCCAGAAATATCTTTGACGAGGCACGTTTAAAAATTGACGAACGTATGCATTCGATAATAATCGTCTTCCGTTGCAACCACTGTAAGATTCGGGTGCTTTTTCGTACTTCTGTAAACATTTATATGTGTATTGCGTGCTTTTCTGTTGTTTTGCTGGTCAGCCAACCCGAGCATTTGTGCCTCGTCATTTCCAAAGACAATTGCACAAGAAATAGTAATAGTTACATTAGAGGCAGATAAAGCTGCATAGTTGTAGTAGCGAAAAAAAAAAAAAACATTAACAATGAACAAGTCGCCACGCACATATGTGCGTGTGTGTGCATACGAGGGGCTAAATCGTGAATGCCGTGACGGGGCTTCCGTTCTGTTTTGACAAGTCAAAGCAGACAATGGCCAACTTCTGTTTAGGCTTGCCCCCCATCATTCGACCGTTGTTAATCATTGCGACCGGCTTCGCCAGCGTATCGTATCACAGCTCAGTATAATTCATATCTGTGTTTGTACCCCCAAGGATGCCACCAAATTTTCAGACTGAATGTATATATAAACATACATATTTCTGTATGTGCATGCTGACAAGCGCCTGCCGTTGGTGTCGTTAATGATGTTGTTCATGATGATGGTGGGATAGGCGAGATAGTAACTAAGGTCCTTCGGCTCGATCATTGTTATTGTGCTGTTCGTAGTACCACTCCAGCACGGGTATACTGTGGTCGTTCGCGGTCCGTCGCTCTCACGCTTGGCCGATTTGATCGGGGGGTTCGCTACAACATCTGCTTACTACCCGTCTCGGCAAGGCTGTGGCTTCTGCAGCGTCACGGGCCCAGTCAATGCTGTTCTGTGGCAGATCAAAACCCGACCTATGGAAAAGAATGTTAAGCTACCTAGAGAACGAGCACGTTATTTAGTTGCCTGTATCTACAAATGAACTTCAGTTCTTCTATTTTAGTTCCTTTCTGGAAGAGAACCTTGTCTGCCTGCGTGCCTGCCTGTGTAGTAGATAAGCCCACTCGTTTGCTAGAGAATGTTAGAAGCGGTGGCGCAACGCACACAATACATGGGCGATTTTGGCTGACATATTGATAATCTCGTATTGTCAGCCGATAACAGGGCATAATCGGGTTAGGTATAATGGGTAATATAACTTTGCCCTGCCAGTGTATATGAACAATAGTGACTATTCAACGTAGAAACGCGTTACTGATAACTGATGATCAAAAATCATCTAAAGCGCGCTGGTGTGCTTGGCTTCTTTCTCATATAGTCTTACATGTGAGCGACAGTTGAGCTTTCTAAGAGATTCTTGTTGCGTAGTGACGGCCGCATATTAAATTGTGTTATGCTGCCGCATGATGTCGTCCAGTCAACCCTTAGGTTTTTTTTTGTTACCGAAACAATGGCTGTTTCATATACAAGCGCCATTTGAAGGACTAATGAAGTGTGTCTCACTTGTAGCGAGTCCCTCAACATAAAACGCATTTTTGCCAGGAAATCACTGTTTGACACTGGTAAGGCTGGCTTGACGTATCGTTACCATTTATACCATTATTTAGTAGGAACATCGTTGCAGATTAAACTTCATAGGAATCACTGTACCTGATGTGTGTGCAATCGTATTATTTTGATTACTTTCGAAATTACACAGTTCACTGTTGGCTGGTGTGAATTAGGTTATCGGCCACCTCATGCGTATTCAACAAAACTTGTTATCTTGAATACGCATTTCTAGCAGACCTAGAACTGACTTGGTCGCTTCAAGAGCCCAAGGGTTGTCTAGAGCCCAAGGCATACACACGTTAAGTTTGTGTCTCTCAACACAGTGTCATATAGGAAGCGTTTGGCACTAATTTGTCATAGAAGGTTCGCAGTTAAGATCTGCCATCCATGAATGACACGCGGCGTATTTGTGCCAATTTTTATCAATAGCTACGCGTACTTCTGTGCAGGCCCAGATCTCCGCAGTATTTAGCAATCCTTATAAGTTGTCCCTGAGATTACTTTAGCGACTAGAATATTCAGAAACGTCAGTCGCGCGGAGGGAATCAGAGAAGACTTAGGAACCTGGCCAATCATAACCTACCTATACAAGTCTTTTTTTCTGAATGAATGATTCTTTAGTAGTTTTTGTTCTTCCGTCGATTTCTGTCAGTATACCTCCTCCCCGTTACCAGTAGCTAAAACGGAAACGATGCGACAAGTCTGTGCTGAGATAAAGTGAGGGGACTAAAGTTCCTGGTTAGCTCCGAAGTCAAACAACCGGTGACAAAATTCGAGTAGACAGACGCGTAGGGAGGCACTGAGACTTTTAGTGCTATGTCCTTCTGACGACTGGCACTTTTCTGGGTGAGTTTATCTCGCTTATAGACCTGGCCGTCTTCGGCGCCGTCGTTGCTCCTAACTTGATCCCCATCACCAAATGAAAGAACTTTGGCCACCAATATCACGACACCAATAACTGTAGGACAAGCGGTGCGCTGTCTCTCCCTGAATCGGGTCATTCGATTGGCAGCCTGGCTACGTAGAAACGCCGGCAGCTGCAGCGGTACCGGCATCAGAATCATCACCACCAGCAATGGCAATAGTTACAAGTGTAATGGTGTTCGTAGATGTCGCTATTGGCGACGGGAATGACGGTGATCGCGGACGGGCGATTCCGTACTTGGGACGACCGCGAAGACCTCTGGTGGAACCGTTCGATCGACTCAGCCCTTCTAGTGACTCGGTTCTTCTTTTTGGGCAGGCCTGTTCTCCGTAAGCTCGTCTATCAACATCAGTTGTCCTGAGTATTGCTGCCATAAGCAACTCATTCCGCGACTGACGATCGGAGGGGCAGCAACGATGGCGGCGCCAGCGGCCACTGTGATCCCAAAACTCTGGCGAACCCGCCACAGATCACGCATCCTACGTACCTGATACCGGCGACGCTGCCGTTCTACAGATGATGCAGCCGCGGCGACGATTCGGGATCCGTGTTGTTCCATGGCGCTCCGAACGGCTTGGCGACTCTCGAAAATGAAGAAGCGATTAAATATGGCAGGATAGAACGGGTCGACGAAGAAGCACTCGAGCACTCCAGCACGGTAACTCGAACAGCTCGGCCACGACTGCGGTTATGGCACAGACGAACAACGAAAGGTCTCCAGAAACCAGCTGAAAGCTGAGGATCAGCAGCTGAATTAAGGCCGATGCGTCAGCGATATCCCAGCGTGAGGAATCCACATACATTGGCCAATAACGCACATTACACAGCACTTCAACACAGGACACTACTTCCGAGTGTGTGAGGTACGCAGGCGATAATAGGTCGAACTTTAAACTGCCGCTAATTATTGTTGTTTACCACTACCAGCGCGTTAGACACGCGAAAATATTATCTCTTGCCGCTGCGGTCACTGAACCAGGCACAGTGAAAATTGAAAATAAGCAGGAAGCACCACATCAACAGAGTTGTACATAACCTAAACGATCCTTTTTGCTTTTTATTTCGGAGACTATCGTATAAAGATCACAAGAACTTTTCTTCTTTGCTTTCTTATTTTACAATATTGCATCGCGAGTAGCTACCACGTTGGAACGCTTTCTTCAACTGAAATTAAAAAGCGCTGTCTTTCCACCGGTTTCACGTGGACTAGGCGCCCGTTCTTAACCCGTTCTAATTGATTCGTATCCTGCCCAACGCACTTGGTATCTTCGTGTCCGTAAGTAAGACGGCAAGTAGGAAAATTGATTTAAAAGCAACCGGCTAAGCGACAAACACATTGGAATACGCAGAGACACGCAAGGAACACAAACACAGCTAACATCTCATACACAACAGAAACGGTATTCTGTTTGTCGTCAAGCGTCGTCACAGCATCAGAACGTTGTTGCTATTGTTGTTGTCCTGACCACCAGAAGTGTTTAGGACTGTCTGAGGCCTTTCATGTCTCTCATCCGCTTGGCATTTCCATGACAACTTCTTTTTTTGGGCAACCTTGGCGCATTGTCCGTTTTCAACTGCTTGTTGAAGGTCGAAGGTGGAGGCATCGTTTAGGTGACTAAATAGACGGATGCCTTTATAAGTATATGGATGTTTACGGTGGTCGAAACCCGTTAGCAAAACCTTACGTTCTCGAGCTTCTAGCTCTTTCCGAAGGCCTCGGTCGTCGATGAACCGGTGGAGTCGTACCTGGATAAATTGGCTGCCGCCCCGGCCACTGTTGTTCTCTGTTCGTCCTATGGCGGTAATGCTAACTCATGCTCGTAGTGAAGCAGACCTACGGCGAGTCTTATTGCTGCTGACTTATCTGCCAGCTAGTTGAAGCGCTGGGAAGTTAGTGAAATTACCCCACAAAGAAGCGACGTGGTAGGGGCGACCAACGGCCTACTAAAGGCTCCGGCTGTCCGTGCAGAAGGACCGCAAGGCCATTACGATAGATTAGGCGGGACGAACTGTTGCAACGAAATCAAGACACTGTTCAGTTAGGCATAACTAATTATGCGCGTGCTTTCATCATCACGGTACGTTGTTGAATAAAACAAAGCGGGCATTAGGCCACATCGGTCCGTCAGTCAATGCAAAGCCCTCTCTTCAAGTCAGATCTATAGTAGAACAACTATAGCGAAGGCAAACAATTTGACAGAACTCCGGCTACCAGCAAACGCCACCGTGCGGCAGAGCCACGAATGAGCGGCGCGCTGAGCCACCACGCTCTGCACGACTGGCAGCTTTAACCGGCAGCAGCGCTACGGCTCACACCGTCGACTGTGGTTGGATACAGCAATAACCTATTTGGCCGCTCGTTGGTTGTTTCTTGCTCATGCCAGCTTTTCGCGACGACCCTCGCCACTCTAAGCGGGAGCACCAGCAGCAGCTGCTACGGCGGAGGCGGCGGCAGTCCACTCACTCGACGGTCGGCATCAGCATCGCCGCGGCTGGCACCACGACACAGCAAGCAAGTGGTGCCGCCGTGGCTGAGCCCGCTTCTGGGCGTTACGCCGCCGCGGCGGCGGCGACCAAACTCAAACATCGAGCGGCATCAACTGCCGAACCGATGCCACTAAGGGTGATACAGAAGTAGCCACAGCTCAAAGGAAAGGACAGAGAGGGAACTCAGATCGTCAGATAGAGACGCGCACAGCCAGGCAGTGCTGGCTGTCTGGCTGGCAGTCAGTCAGTCAGTCAGTGAACAACGTCCGGAGAGGCGAACGACGAACAATTGTTGGTCGCTCAATGGGGGCTCCAAAGACGACGACGACGACGACGAGACTTCGGTAGCGGCATTCGCAGGACTCCGGTGCCGGCCCGCTTCGGGCTCGTAGTGGCTCTACCCATCGTGAAGCAGGGTAATCCAACGAGGATCAACTATCCTAACAGCCGAGCCGCGTTATTCTTTCATAGAGAAAACTAGCTGCTGGTGATGACGCTTCTGCTTGCAGGTTCAGTTGTACAACGAAGCGCTAGCGTCGTTTGCTCAAACTGCGACGCTAGTTGGTGTCGGTACCGAACTGCGATGGCTACACGACCCGTACCCAGTCGGAGTTAGTTGAGTAGGGTCATTGGAAGGTGCCATAGTATAGCGATCAGCAGCGACCCAGCCTACCGGTCCGCTATCAGACCCCAGCCACCAGTCAACACTGCAGCTCTCGTTTCTTCTATCCTCTACTGATGGCCGTTGCGCTGCCTGGTAGTCAATTGAAAGCAAACGAACCACGTTCGGATTTGAACCAGTAGTACGACGATGCTGTTGTCTGCGACGAAGGCACCGCACTAGGCACAGGTTATATAATGCTATGAATGTATGATATATTTGCCGCTATGGCGTAGCCGTGTCAAATAGCGAAAAATAGTTGAATTAGTTTTGCATGTGGAACGGCTACGGGTTACTTCTCTACCGCTGCATAAATGACAACCCTACGCTAATGCAAATCAGATTTCTGAGATGCCCCAACGGAGGAAAAAACGGTATAGAGCCGTAGGCAAGGATTGTCGAGGCTGAGAGTACACGATTATGATCGACATTCTGAAACATGTTAGAACATACTCGAACGTCCTACGTCAGTTCAGGACATCAGTTTTAAAATCATCACTGAGGTATCATTCGCATCTTGACAGGAACGTAAATATTGCATTGATCAAAGGTTATAATTATATTATGAAAAAACTATAGGCACGAAAATTAGCCGCTTATCCATGATGAGCATCACGACACGAAAGCTTGATTGAATAGCAGGAGCACCATCGTAAATCAAAACGAGTACCATCAGCGTCCATGTACGGCAAGCTATCCGGATGAGACGTATCAGACGATGGGAAGTGCTGCCAGTACATAGCCGCTCCACCTTTGCCGACCTAGACTAGATAGACCCACTAAGACTGGGACGAGTTGGTTGGGCGTGGGTCGACTGCAGCAGACTCGAGATAGAAAGCACCTATGGCAGTATATTCTTTTCATATATGAAGCTGGTTTGTACGAAATGTGCAGGTAAAGCATATATATATATATATATATATATATATGCGTCGATGCAGGACGAACGTCATACGCAGGATGAGGTCTTATAGTGCATTGTATCGTAGGCTATCCCACTTAATATCGAAAGTACACCAGGTCAAAGGAAGGTCACATCAGACTGCCGGATAGCTCGTGACCACAGCTGACCGGATCACGGTCCTATGGAGCGGTAGTGCCCTTGTGTTGGCTGCTCCTGCTACCGGTAATTCGTTTCATCCAAATGTCAGAAGACGCCGATAGGCTAAAGCCGCCTGTGTGTGGGTGCACGATTTAATTCAGTCGATAAGGACATGTGCCACAGCGATGTAAATCCTAGGAGAGATAGTCAGAGCAATACATTCTCGACAAGCCCCGCAAATCATGGTCGGGAGCGGGTACCGAGAGGAGTTCTACAAGATCAAATAGCAATAAGTAGATGAGTACGAAATATTATGAGCCTAAAACTAGACTGCGCAGTCGGTCAGTCGTTTTTATTGCGTAGCAGGTGGCATTAGCTAAAAACAACAAAGCCATCACGAACGTGGGGTGGTGCTCGCGACCATGAACGGGCATTAAAGATACGCTTGCTGTCTTTGTGCGATTATCACTAGGCGAACTGGAATCCATTACTTAGGTCATAGCTTGTACATTACTAGGGGTGCAGCCAGCTATTTTCTGCTTAAAAATCTGTTTGAAGTTCAACAACAGCCAAGTACTTGGCTTAGGTTGCACGAGGGAGGTAGCCTCCTAAAGAGACATGCTGGTAATCATTGGCCAACATAGGTGATCGTCATGACCAAAGCCAAGGAAAATGAATTAGATCGACAGCTAGTGTTTGTTCTGTCCTAAAAAGAATGCCATAGACGGGGTCCTCTCTTATATTTGAGCTTTGTCTTTGCTTTTTAGTTAGCTCAAGAGATAGTAATAATTTGAAATGAACATTACAATATGAAGTAAGGCATAAGTTACAACTTTATGTAGATAATAGGTTACGCCGAAAGTAGCAGGCTGGATAGACCTTGCGACAAGTTCCGTTTTGTTGTTCATACTGATTTGAGTGAACATGGGCGGAATATGGATGTATGAACCAGCTTTAGGGTGCAATTAGCTTGAAACAAAAGTGCAGATTAAAGCTAACAAAATCAAAGCTTGTTTTGGTGTTACCCTCTCGACTTTTAGATGGATTGTAATAAAATAAATGTTTTACGTCTTCTACTTAACTGTTAGACATTTTTTTAAACGACTGAATCGAACCATTACAAACATAAAGTGTTTCCATGCCCGCACCCGAACTCTCGCCTCCACTTACAGCGCTGGTATCAGCTTATACGGCCGCTGTTTATCGCTCTGATCTTGATATATCTTGTTCAACTGTAGATAATTAACTTATCTATTGTGGGTTGTGTAGGAGCACTTATCGGTGCTTTAAATTATAGCTTTGTTTCCGTTTCCTTGGAAATATACGCTCTGATTGGTAAATATATCGATGATTCTACCGCTGCGTTTTTCCACATAGATCTCATGTACAATATGTACTTCCAATGAGCGTTTTTTACTTTACGAGTATTGTCGAAGGCCATCAAAGAATGTCGTTCCTCAGGGAAACAACGACACAAAGCTGCCGCCTGCATAAAGATTAAAAATTTACGTTTGTACCGTTATGTACGACATAGTCCGTCTGATTAACGCTAATACGGATCTAACTCGGCAACGTATTTGTCGTAGAGACATTTCTAGCTACATGTGCTTCATCTCTTTGTTCAGCCATGCTTAAGTTGACGCTGGGTCTACGTTCAGTGGTGCGTTTGACGCTGCTATTAATACCAGAAACACGACTGATTTCTCATCAAGATTTTCCCATAGTCGGCATTTTTGTCTCTCGTTAGTTTGGATGCGGTGGTGGATGTGTGTCTGTGCACGTATGTCTATGTTCGATTGCTCTTTTGAAAAAACCCTATTGGTAAACAGCGTGAATAAACAGTGCTTGGTCGTGCTGTTGTCGTCCACGTAAGCGTAACACAGGATGAGAAAGCAGGATACTAGATATCCACAAGCTTACGACGATCATCCATGTCATTACACAATAGCGACGAGCGTCGACCAGTAAAATAAACGTGACAAGCAACAACAACAGCAAAATGGCGGCGGCCGCTGTTGTCAAACGAAGCAAAAGTGCTGAGCTGGTAAAGAGGGGTCGAACAAAGTCGATAACAACAAAAAATATCGCGCAAATCTTTTCAACGAGCGGCAACGTCTGGTATCTATTGCTGCGAATTTCTTTTTGCTCGACCTTTGTCCTAGCACAGGTCACGGCGACTGTACAAATAGGCATTTGTATTACAAACGCCGACAACAATTAATAGAAACGTGTACGTGGATCATTCGATTTAGACCTGTTGAACAGCGAAGCGTATCTGTCATCGTTTGCATTGCGACATCTTTGCTAATTAAGAACATATCCGAGACTCGTACTCATTAACAGTTTAATAACAGCGTCAGTGTTAAATAGAGGTGTGGGCATGGTTTGCGTTTAAAGGGAGAACGAGAAAATGATTGAATCATCTTATCTCCAACCTACTTACATTGCATATGTATATTTCGTCAGGACTAAACCTGGTTCGCCCTGAGGAAAACATCGAAAATCACAAAAATCTTACCTATCCTGCGAATCCATCTAAATTCTCAAGAATACAAACGCAACTAACACTTAAGTCCATCAAGTCATAAAAAAAATGATATCTGTGCTTACAATTCCCTATTCACTTAATGTATAAAAATAAATATCTAAATAATAACGTACAAGGTGTCCATATTGGCCTGTCCAGCAGTTTCAACACGTTTAGGATGGGTTTTTACGATACATTTTTTTATTGTTTATGGCTACCTGATAACCATTTACTTATTATATTTAGTTGGTTTGGAAGAAGATTCCTTTACGTTGCTTGAATATTAACTTATGCGTTACATACATATATATATAAATAAATTCTTAAATACATATATATATATATATATATATATATATATATATATATATGTATTTAAGAATTTATTTAGATTTATCAGCATTTTAGGATACATTTAAGACCAAATGCATCAAACACAACATATTCCCTAAGAAGGAAAAACAAAACCTAATATTACCTCTTTCAATATGATACAATAAACTATATCACCATATACCCTGATGGGTCAGATAGCCCGACGGCTCATAGCACTTGATATGGTTCCTGCAAGCAGCCTTCTTAGAAGTGTC